TCCCTCAGTTGAATCTATACAGTTTGCGAACTGCGTAAATATTGAAACATCTCTCCTTCGCAAATATTTTCTTATATTTTCTTTTTTCTTATAATTAAACATTCTCTCGTCTTCGGTTTCGAAATCAGAGACATCAAACGGGTTGTTAATTATGCTTAAAAAAAAATTGACCTACACTTTAATCTCAGAATGTATCTCTTTCTTCTCTCAGTATATTTCAGTCTTTTTTTATTTTAATCAGTTATCTAAATCCTTCGATTTACCTAATAACGCTTCAATTTTTATTAACGAAAAATGACGAATAAAGAATCTCAAGAAACGAAACACGTGCAAGCTTAGTGCGAATTGAACGATTGAAAAATCTATTTCCAAAAGTTTATCAATTTGAAATGTTGTCTGATACGTCGATGAGCCACCATCCATTTCGTCCAATTTCATCAATCATGCTGGACGTAAAGAAAAGGAGAACGAAACACACACAGTAGGAAAAGTCTACCGGATAGAGGGCGGTACACACGTGCATTATTAAGGAATGCGGGACAATCATTACACAGAACGAACACGTAGCCTGACACACTCAGGGAATAGCTGGCTCGATGAATAATTGAAAATAGCGATCATATACAAGTTTTGCGATCCCTTTACATTCGGTTGTTGGTATCAATTATCATTGTCCACAGAATTATTGGCATTTTCATATTTTTCAATCAATCGATATTTTTTAAACCTATCAATCACCAGAATCTCATATCACAATACGAATAATTGGTTAGAGTGTAAAGTGAGGATGCGGGGGTTTTGGCTCTTTTACCTGCGGCGAAACGTCAATAAAATATATCTATAATTTTTTCGTATTTTTTTTATTTTTAAAGAATTGTTTTACAAAAGTTGACGGTAAATACCAAAATCAATTCAATGAAAAATTTCATCAAGCTAAAAAAAAATGTCTCGTAAATTCCCCGAAGGCGCAATGGAGTTTCCCAAGGATCGCAATGCCTCATGCATAATTCAATGGTTTCTAGAAAATTGCACGATCTACATACGTCGGTGTCTCGATACGTCACGAGTTAATTGAACTTCCATCGAAATTCACTGTCCCGCTTAATTACTTCGTCAACTAATTAACGTGCGACTAAACAATACGGTCCGGCCCGTTCGTCCAACTAATTAATTAAGTATGCACTCGTCGTTGCATATAGGTGTTACGTTTCGAGAACTAAATTAACACCTTGCATACGAGTGACACGTTTTCATCAAGCACGCATTTACGCATCGTGTACCTACGACACTCTAGATACCAGTGTTTGCATTTGACAGTAGAAGAGGACAAACATACTCTACATCTACATGCTAAACACATGTTTCATAGTGCGGACAAGAAAGTGCGTGCACCGGACGGCCAATAGCTGGGCAATCGTGACATTTTTCCAATTTTTCGAAAATTTCGAAATAAATAATATTAAAATCTTTTTAATAACTCACGTAAAATTTCGATTAAGTACGACAAAAAATTTGCAAAAAAATACTGAGAAAATTATACATTTTCCTAACCTCGTCTCGTATACTTATAATCCAATTCTTGTATGTACACATATTTTTCAAAATTCTCTTGTACATTTTCAGGAAATATTTTCCTCCGATAATATTCCGTGAAAGGCATTCAAATATGACGCTCTTTCACGTTCGAAATTCGAAGATTTTCCATTGTACATTTTATGCAATTTCGAATTCCTTCTGAATTAATGGAAAGGTTTCGGGGTTTTTGACTGTTGCGTAAGGACTACTCAAGAGTAGCCCTTAGAATTGTAGGTTACGTACGCGACGCCAGAAATACTGTTGAACGTACAAGCACAATATCGCATCGCCTATCGAAAAAGCGCCTAATGAAATTTAAACGCGAGACTGAAAATCGTCTCGTCTGCGCTGAAATATTCGAATGTTGAAACGCCGATGACTTTTCTGTATCGTAGAATCTTTTTCTATAGTCCTTGAAAAATTTTAAATGCAAATATAAAAAAAATACGAACGATATAAGAGAGTCTCTCCTTTAATATAATTTTCTCGCGATATATCCTTTGATATGATTTCTGACTTCTGTACGAATGAATTGCGGAATAAACGTTTAACAATAAAATGAAAGGTACTCGGATAAATAAGGCCAAAGAAGTCTCAAACAAAAGGAATACCATAATGCTCGAATAAAGTTACGTTTTACGAAGGACAAGTAACAAGTATAAAATACAATCACAGATAGGCTTGGTATCGTAATCACTGGTGCACGATTAACTCTAAAGGACGTACAATAAAAATTCTCGCGTCAATTTGCGCAACGAGTTCCTTCAATCTTTCTTCACTTATGCACAGAAATATGCAAATGCCAGATGCAGTCAAATACATGGTTACCGGCAAACAAGCCTATTAGCAAAGCTGATATCGCAAAAATGATCTCGCATTAGCAACTCTGCATGACGATTAGATATAAAAGTTATACGTGAAGTCCCTAATAAGAGAATAATATTGTGAATATTAGGAGGGCATAAAAAATAATTTGCGAACGGCTTGAAGAGCTTCGCGAATTTTTAATTAATTTTTTTTCCATAAAGACAAATTTAGTCAATGGTAAAGAATTAGATTACATTATCAAGAGCGTTTAGAACACGTAGTACCGTGATGCCTATACGACGTAAAATTGAATCGACGTTGAGAAAATCGGAAAACAGAAGCCAGAAGCGTTACGAATTTTCCATCCTCTTACAATAGCATATGCATTTAAAAAAAAAAAGTAATTAATACAAAGTTACTGCGTAAATGAATATTATCCTTCAATTACAAAAAATCGTAAAAAACAAAAAACTATATATTTATGTCTCTAATGCACTGCCACTACGGACTGAAGTAACCAGAAATATTTTTCCATTCAAAAATATCTTTTTGATGAGATGAATATATAGAATAAAAATCAGGCTGACGCGATTGGCGCTAAACAGTGAAAGAGGAGATAAAAAATTATCCGTAAACTGGAAAAAAAAAACAAAAAAAAGTGTCATCACGAACATTCTTCCTTCACTGTATAGTTGGATTGATGACCATTCATGCCAGCATTAGGTCCACTCTCAAGGGACTCGTTAACGAGGCAAGGTACGTCACTTTTTTCAGACTATATAACATACCCACAGTTGACGAACATGTTTTTTTCATTTAAGTTGATTAAAAAGTCTACATATGCTAAAGTACATTATGTATTTACATTTAGAAACAATGTTATATAACGATTCGATAAAGACTGATTATACAAATTTTCTGTACTTCGATAATTTTTATGTTTTGATTAAGTGTAATTAACAAAAGCGTATAATCAGACAAATTTGCTTTGTTTCTTGCCAATTAAAACGTCGCAGTATTGAAAATTGACAGTAAACAGAGAAAACAAATAACAAGTCAATTTACATACGTATCACCTTACAAGAGTATCATATGATTTTCTTATACTCATTATAAAAAAAAAACGTGTTATAATGTGCCATAGCAGCGTATCAATTAAATTGATAAAGGGGGAAAAAATATTAATTACGCTTTGGATGCTGCGTATTACATGCGCGCAGGATATACTGACATCACGTCATGTATAGTTTCCCATAGGTCGGTAGGGATTCGATAATTACATTGGCGGTATAGTGGACACGTTGTTATTCAGCTAAATTTAGTGTCCCATGAAAACGACATTATTGTCGATATAACGTAATAATGAATTTTTATAGTACAAATCGAAATGTGAATAAAAAGAAGCATACACTAAATCAACCACAATAGAACTAAATTTAAAGCCAAGATGTGGATATCAATAAGCATATAGTTATTGCGATTGATATAAATGTAAAGATGCATATATATATGCATATATGTATATCTATCTATGAACTGTAAATACAACATATTGACTCAGCAATGCATCTATACAGCAAAATCATTCGATCGAAGCGAAGATGAAGTTGAAACAAATAACAAAATTTCATAGATAACTAAAAGAAAAATTGTTAAACCCAAAATAGCAGCTTGAAATTTTACTTGATTGTACGAATATGAAATACGGATACATAACAAAAATTTCGATTGGATTCTATGAAAAAATTAGGAAAATAGATGAAAGGCAAAATAAAATGAATTTAATAATAAATAATCATTCCGAATTTAATACTGGTGCTCTGAATTATGAATTGCGTATGACATTGATAATCCAAAAATATCACTTTTCGAATAATATTTACAATCGCGTTTATCATGAAATTCGTATTACGCTTCAGTGGCATTTTCCGCCTGTACAATTTGAATATATGCAGCCAGTGCGTTCAACTGTTGCATATCGAATTCGTAACTCTATCCACATCGCTTGTGCATCGACCCCATGACATTTCAAGTTACAGTTATATACCGTGTGTAAAATATTTTTGGAGTTGTTAAACAAACTTAATTGTATAACGAAAACAAAAATTAATTATTTTCAAAAAAAGGGTAATTATATTATTTTTTTCCCATCATAGTACGCATGAGTCTGATAGATGCCGCACGACTGCTAGCATTAATGAAACGAAGCGCAGTTTCTGGTGGATAAAAAAAGTTTTCTAGTTAGCAATAAATAGTTGCGTTCTCGATACACTTTCAGCCGTGCGATAGCTCTTGAAATGATCGTTGAAACTGCCCAATTAATGAACCTTACCAAACAACGTTTTTATCGAAACAACCTAAATTAATTTTGCTACGCACTTCCAATATCGATACTATCACCACCTAACGTACAATTTACATCAGTAATACTATCCAAATATCATATTCAGACCTATCCATCAATAGTCTATACTATGATCTACCTGTCTGCCTTATGGCAAATATCAGGATAATCGGCACCTCGCGCATTAATGTCTCAACAAGATACCCAAACAGACCATAAATTCTGCAAAACAACAAACCAATAAACCAACCAGCGGTAACCTTTTGTTACTTACCCAGCAGCCGCTGGTAATTATTCCGTGTTGCAAGTATCCCACGTTGTACAAGTAACAGGTATACTGAAATCATATAGCAGGCGAGCAACATAAATTCACTTAAAATCTTGAAAAACAAAGTAACAGGTACGGTACAGTTCAACATAAGAAACACATAACAGTCCCGTATTAGAAAGTCAGTACGAAAACACACGCACCGATCTTAACGAGTAGTATTTATTTTGGCCTACAATACTACCTCTCGTAGCGCCCAATCATGACAGGGCGCGTAAACTAGACTGACGATATGTCAAACAGGTGAGATGCTCGCGTGTCTTTGATCGTCCCCACCTTGAAGATCATCTACCCCCTCTTACGAAATCTAAGGATGCTGGACCAATGACAGTAACAGCAACCCTCCCCCATGCCGTTTAATTCACCCCACCTTGGCTCCGTGACTCCAACAAACAGCTCCCCACTCCGGGGCAAACCACCCTGGCGGACGGACACGCACATAGCCTGGCAGGAGTGCAGGTTCGTAAGCAACCGGACTGTCAGCCCAGCCAGGGCAAGTTCTACTTGCGTGCGCAGCTCAACATCGATCTATTCTAGCTCACCTACGTTGTCTTGCCTGTCTGCCTGCCTGCGTACGTATCTACTTACTTCCATCAGGTCTACCAGGGCTGGTAGGGATACCTGTCATCCCGTATATGATTTGCTTTTTGTTCTAGAACGAGATTGCAGTCATTTTGCTACCAATTACACTGGCTGATTATATGATTTTAAATTATTTGGGTGACGAGCGAGCTCACGACATACTTGAACACTGAAATCCCTGTAGAGAGGTACCAATGAGAATATCGACACCTTGAAATTATGCCATAGTTGCCAATGGGGTTTTCAACGTAATTTTTTTTTAATGGAATTTTCTAGATTATCTACGTTTATGTATATCTGTACGATTTATCATGCTCAAGTAACGTATTTTCCTTGTCCTCGAACTACTTTAGATTATCGATATCACGCACGATATCTTTTGTGCGAATAAACGTTATACGCTGTAATTTACATAAAACTTTCGGTACGTGTACATGATTCGAGATAAATATATCTTAACGTGAGATTCCGATTATAAAAAAAAAATTTATATGTACTTGCATCAGGTATATTTTTCTTCGAAATAATATCTGGCTATTTGATAGTTACGAATGTGGAATTAATTCTTAGATTCGCCAAGAACACGTTTTTCCAATTGTCCTTTCCGTTCGTTCAAAATTCGTATTCTTTCAGGTAATACTATATTATTATCGATTGAACGTTCTGCCAACAACGCGCGCTGGTTAGTCACGTCCGCATGGGACATGCGGGGTTTTCTTGTTTCGTTCGTGTATTACTTTTTCGAATATTTTGCCAAGCATTCCAAGCTTTAAATGTTGTACATCTACAGGGTTACTCACGACAGGGGCACCAACTTATATTGGACGTGATTAAACAATTTCGTTGGTCGAGGCAGTGTGACCTTGTTAAACAAATAAAAGATTTTAAAGTTCATAATGTTAATATTGTTATGACGTTAACTTTCATACAAGAGTCTGCTGTCACGTGGAATTACAAAAAGAGTACCTAAAATGTTCCGAGTTCCAACGTTACCAAGAAAGAAGAAAAATCGATAGAGGCAACTGTTCCATTCGACAACATCATTCCTGCATTTGTCTCACAGACAAGCATGAAACGAAGAAACAAGACGTCAAGTTTTTAGGTCGAGTGATCATCGGACAGATAAAGAAGATTTTGAGTTCTTATAAGAAGTCAAGGACGGATTCGTATTTTTCCAATAGCAGCAGACAATTGAATTTTCAAAATGATTTTCATCATTACCCAATCATCAATTTTAAATAACTATTTTTTTTATATTTGACAAATGATTTCGCTCAGAAAATAACCTTTCGTTCGGCGAAATTATATATATATACTTATATATATATAAATATTACTTTTGTTACTTACCCAGCAGCCGCTGCTAATTATCCCGTATTGAAAGTATCCCACGTTCTACAAGTAACAGGCATGCTGAAATCATATAGCAGGTATATATATATATATATATATTAAGTAATATTCAAAGTTATTTATTGACAAAAATGCACATTTTATTTAATTATTCATCCGCGTTGACATTCCCGATATTAATGCAAAACAAATGACGACACTTGTTACATTATGACCATCCCCTTACACAACACCATTAATAGACACTTCATGCGTCACTTAAGTACCGCCCGCATCCGCCATTAAACTTCTAACATGAACTCTACCATGGACCATGGACCTAACCATGGTAACGGCAATCGATATACGAGTACCTCCGAGTCCAATCAATATATCGCATAGTGATGTATCTTTGTAGCAGAATTAATGAAATTGAACAATTTTCCATTCAGTCTGAACTAATTCCCGAGTAGTACAACGGAACAGTGTATATGTATATATAAATTATTCCTCAAAAATGCTTACGAGAAAGAACAGATTAAAAATTTTCAAAATTCACATTCAATGTATGATAGTTTGATTGACTGTACCCCATAATTAAAATTTGTTCCCGTCAGGCAAACTTACTTAATTGACCGGTTGTACACGTGCCATCGGAATATCTCGAATGTATACAATGCATGGGATTGGTTCATTCTCCGCCTTATATTTCGTTATGATTATTGGAAACCGGCTTAAGGACCATATACCTAACTCAAATTAATATCGAGCAATGGCAGCTAATAATGCTGATTTAATTGATCCAACTCTCGAGAGCTTCATTGGATGCATTCGCGTTAACACACGTTAAGATCATATTCGTGACTAACGTCAGAATGACTTTTGTCTCGAAAATTGTTATGGCTATGTTGGTCAGCTGTCGCGTGAAACAACTATTTCGTACGAAAGCTTCACATAGGTAGAATTGAGTAAAAAATGTATTTTTTATTATATAAAATGTATATCAGCAGATTGCTGATTGATTTAAATGGAAGCAAATGAAAAAATAATAAACTGACTTTAAAGTTCGTGAAAGTTTTAATTGCTAGGTTGTTAAACGCGATTATCGGCAGTTTCAGTTTCCAAAGCTCTGCTTGGTTAAACGAAATTTTCATTCTTACGAGAATTTCGAGCTCTGACGGTGACAGGGTATTATTTTTTATATTGTAAAGTATGAAAGACCTACGAAGCTGAAGAATATTGTACGTTCCATTTGATACATGTAACACATAAACGAATAAAAATATGAATAGAAAAGTATTTTCTAGTATATAAGGTCATCCGACTCGATCATCCATGTAAGTGGAGAAACGTGACGGAAATGAATTTTTCTTCATACGAAACTTCCGATAATATTAGAAGAACGATTCAGTAGCTTTTTCTATTTTATTTCATTCGTTTCCGTGTCTCCTTTTAATGGCTTGACGCTGTACCTGTACGTATATTTTCCACAAAACTTTTTCCCGATTCAGAAGAAATTCTTAGATACCAAAAAAGACTATGTAACCTCGAGAAAAAAAAAAGGTATCTCGTGTAAAGAAATGTTGACGAGTACGTTTAGCCGTTGTTTCTACGATAAAAATTTCATATCTAGCTTGGTTTTTTTATGTGATACTCAACAAAATTCGAGACGTAATCTTTTATACTACTTTTGTCTCCGACTCACTTGAGTCTTTGGAAATAAATAATTGTGTTTCAAGTACAGGTCGATCGAACTGTCTGAAAAAAATGACACAAGACAAGTTAGAGTCTCTTGACCAAGTACAGTCATACTTTATTAAATTTTACAATGGCAATCGAATAACGCAAGTAATAGGTACATCGAACAATAAGAAGATATAAAAATTCGTAAAGTAGGAAAAGAGATGAAAATTTAAATAACTTAGTAAAATCGTATTAAATACGACGAGCATATTAAAAATGGTATTACAAGCTAACTTTTCTTTCACGAGAAAAGTACAATGTACACAAAATAAAAAGATACGATGTAGCAGCAAAAGTGAATTAATAAATTACAAGAAGCAAGCAAACAATGATAATCAGAGAACAGCTATAATGATGATGCATGTGGAAGAGTCGTATACGAGCATCTGATATCTTTTTATTTCGTTCTCATTATATCCACAACACGTGCCCACAATGATTTTCACGATCCCTGATATTATCTGAGACACTCAAGTAATAAATCAAACCTTAAATACCAGAGTATTTAAATGTATCCTCTTAAGTATCTCTCGTTTCATTCTCAGTGTAATAAACTTTTAGGAAGATGCAGTAAAACAACAGAAGAACGGATTCAGCCGAAAATTATATCAGACAAGTACTGTAATCAAGTATAGTAGAATTAAGATTTTATTATTATCCCTTCACGCATTGCTCTTCTACTCTGATAGCTGAAGCTCAAATTTATTTCGAAATCAAAGAAAAGTCTTTTTTCAATTTCAAACTTTCTATATATTGTCACGTAAGATTTCGAATAATCCTCGAGTGGAGGGGTCATAATGTACGTATGATTTCAAAAGGAAAGCATACAAAGACCAAAAGCACAGTTTATGCATTATTTCACGTTCGTGCAGCAACTCAGGAGAAATCGTGCCTTAATACGAATCGCCAGTTTATTTACGACCGACTTACTATCAGCCACATTGTCACCTTCTCGCAGCTCTATGGTGCTTTGGCTAATGTATGAGTCGAGTGACCCAAGTAACAATGTACAGGACTTATCAAGAAAGACAGTCTACAGGGGTATATTTATCGTACCGTTTTCGAGGTGGCTTTCGTGTCTGCCGGTGCTTTTTGCCGGAATTTATTCACTGCTAGGCCTGCGCGCTCGATGCACCGCCTGCGATAATAGAGATAAGCTCAATTATACGGGAACACCGGCAAACTGGAAAGAGCGATGAATTCGACTTGGCATCCTGACTTTATTCGAATGAACTCGAGATGCTTTTAGATAACAAGATCTTATCTTGATCGACACTCGCACGCAAAACTCATACCCTCATTATTCAACGTTGTGATAATCACCGTAGGGCAATATAAAAAATAACTTATAATGTTATATATCGAATTGCGTAATACATTGTTTTTATTGATGATTATCAATAATAAATAATATTTACCATCAACGCGTGCGTCTATCGACAGTGGGAAAAGAAGTTTCTAGTATAGCGAAATTAATTTTTACGTCAAAAGAATTCAGAAATAAATAGTGCAGACTGCGATCATTCAAGGAAATTTTGGTAAAACTGATTATAATTCACGCGATTTTCCAACCTGTCGCGCTTATTGTACAATTTAATTGGGGACCTTCCTATCGCCGGCAGGATGCTGCCAAAATATAGATAAATCGTCGAGATAGCCGAATAACGGCAGCGTACTGTACTTTCGTTTAATTGGGTTTTTGTTAGCTCCATTAATGCTGAAACTTAAACCTAACACGACGACGTTGTTCCGTCACATCGTTAAAATCGTTATGATCGAGATAATTCTTAGATCAATATGAGATAACTCAAAATATATCCTGTCTGCATATATCAGTATTCTAGAGAAACAGCGAATCTTATATATCTGTTGAAAATTATTGAGATTGTAAACAGAAGATTTAACACATGCAAAATGTATATAGGGTATATGAAAGAGTATATTGCGAATATTCTTTCGAAGATATTTCGGCAGACATACGATAGATATTGACTTTATATTGGTTATCGGAAATCGATGTTTCTCTATACCATATATTTCAACGAGACAGATTCATATATTTGTTCGATTCGCTAATAATACCGGTGCAAAAATTTGTCGTGGTATGTTTTACTTTTGCAATGTCTTCAATTTCAAATAAATATATAAAACTTCAATTGTGTTTATATATACTTTTACATTATGCATCTTCTAATTATTGTAGGAAAAAGTAAAACATGATTTTGGCAGTAATATGATTGTAACGTAAAGATGCAATTCTTCAGGGACTAATGTCCAGCATGACGCGGTGGTTTTACTTATTATTTGAAAATTCTACACAAAAACTTATTTATCTGACTTGCCGTAGTCGCAGACTGAATGCGAAGGAAATTAAGAAAATCGGTTGTAAAGAAATCTTGTATAATAGTTCTGATTACATGAATGTCGGATTACAATAAATTTGTCCGTCCCAATCATAGCGATAAAAGAAGATGTCGTGACATTCAGTACTAAAAGACTTTTATTTTTTTCAAAAAAGACTTATCGACTTTCATGATCCCACGTAAATATATGATTTGACTTCCTTTTTCTTTTTAGGTTATCAAACTCCTATCCTCTTGCTTACTGTTAAGAAAAAAAAAATATCAACACCAATAATGAGATTATGAGATTTTGTTAGATTGATATTTTTCTTGTTATTATTGCCCATGTAACAAGAAAGCAAAAGATCAGTAATATAATAGAAATTGTATTTCGCATTGCACTTCCGGACGGACTTAAATATCTCCGCATGTAATCTCGACCAGATTGATGTAAATCGTTCGAATCTTCGATACGTCCATCGATAGTTGCAATGGAACCGGAAATGCATTCGAAAAAGTCAGTCAATTCGATATTTGTAATTAAACACATCATGACCATCTTGCATCGGCCGAAACAAATATCTCCACCATATTGCATTGCACGGGTAGCTTTGATAAACCTAAAATACCATTATTATTTTGAAAATCCTATTTCAAATTGCAAAAGTATATTTTTAATTATTGATCACAAAATTCGGTAAAATCAACAAAAAAAAACTATATCTAATTGTTCTATTCACACTACGCATTCACTCATTATTTTTTGTTTACCTTTTAAAGAAAATATTTCCTTTGGCCATTCGGGCCAGGAGCGTCTCTAAGCTATACAAACTCAAATCCGGAAGTGCGTAATGGTCTCTAAAATTATATCTGACTTTCCAATATTTCTCTGACGATTTTCTATCCATCTCATCATTGCCCCAACTCATATTGAAATAATACTGGACATAATCGACTACCTATTAATAATTGATCGTTAGTAAAATCGTAAATCAATTCAATACACTTACCTATCTTCAGATCGATACCTTAGTACTCTTCATATCATACATGTACATCCTAACCGAAGGTAAATTTGAATAATGCGGTTGAATCGATGGAGACAATAGAATGAAGGAAATAAGTTTCTCTGTGAATATAGATACATTTTTTAAAAATAATTTTAGGCAACTACCTCCGCCTCTATCTCGCATTATAACTAAATATCATGAAATTTCTTTGCAACTAATGATATTGAGAGGATGTGTATTGAACATATAAAATTAGCAAAAAGATACTATATTTTTGTAACAAAGCTTAAAATGAATGTACCAATGACTGGCCACGTCCCAGTTACCAGATAAAGCTTGTATGCAAGAGAGATGGAAATACGGTTTCTTATGGACGTTCAGGGACCTGGATCTAAGGTTAGGTGTCCAGCCACTGGGACGTTTACCCTAATATCCCATACCGTATTTACTGTAAATTAACCGAAAGGTGTCCGAGCGATGACTGGCAAATTGCGCAACGATTACGTCATAAAATGTACGAATAACACCGAGGTATCGTTTATTATGTTTCTGAGCCCAAGAAAGTTCTTCGCTTGTTCTGAATAATCCACCCTCTATATCCTCTACACCGGGTGGAACAGACATCACAATGTAGGCCTGCAATTGACAAATGATATAATAATCCACCTAATGGCTATATAGAATATCGTTAAAAACGCATGTAACCTTTTGTCTGTTCAGACGGCAATCTCTTAACTGTTTAATCAGCCAGGACCATTGTCCCGAAGGATCAGCCGATTGACTAGCTACATGCTTCTTTATGTAGTAATTAGTATTCAAGACAATTACTCGTAAGTTACTGTACGGCCGTTGAACATAGGAAAAGTAACCAAAGTTCCAGCGAGATTGAAGAAAAGCCTTTTAGAGGGAAAAACGAAAATAATATTATCAAAAAAATAATTGACTGTCAAGTACAATTTTTAAGTACTTAAAAATTTTGAAAAACATGACTTTTTTATTTTATATAAATTTATTTCGAAAAATAAATTCAGCTAACCGAACTTTCCCATTGATCTCTCAAAATTTCACTCATTTTACTATAGAAAGTGGTATACTTCGTGGGATGGTGACCAAATGGATGATAATCGTACCAACCATAACTTGGATAAATGCTGGCATTCAATCCAGAATCTTGAATATTTGTAACAAAAGCTCTCATGGTCTCATAGATCATTTGCGAATTCTGAATTTGATATGGGCATCTAACATTTCTATGTTGACAGATTAATTTCCTTAGTTATAAGTTTATCTTCGTTGAATTCATTTATTTACCCAGTGAATATATAAAAATTTGTTCTATTCTTGCTTCTCAGATTCATCATTCTGCCGATCGAATTGACCAAACCAAAGGAGGAACATTGTTCGAATTCACCAAAAAATCCACAATTTCGTGTAAAATTTTGTTTGGGGGCTACATGACAATCTATGAAAAGTTAAAACTTTTGTGAAAAAGCAATTTCAAAACAGTTTTAGTCACTAAAACATGACTAAAGGCAGTGATACATTTCATTGACATTCCGTGGCTAAAAGAACAAGATTTCTGAAATTACTTCCTTTCTTATAGGTTAGTTGTTCGGCTATAATTTCTTATTGCCACTACGGGAACAAGACACCAGATGCGATACAGTTAATAAAGCCAAACAAACTTCTCTTGATCTTACCGCTCTCGGGCGAACCCAAAACTGAATAGTAAGGATCAAAAAAGACATCCGCTACGTGCCAGAAGTAACCTTTTTCATGAAATATTTTAGTCAAGTATTAAAGTCGTTAGGTAACTTTAAAATCCATTACATCATACCAATTTCTCTAACTTTCATAACGCGCTCCTTATTTTTCACGGCACTTGACACATTGCGTTCTAGTGCTTCATTAATGTTAATTAAAAAATAAAGAATAAATACAATTGTAATATCAAGTATAAACATTGCTTTCGAATATACAATCGAATATTACTCAAGTGAAGTAGTTTTCCAAGCAATTGGAAATGTGCAGAGCTAGCTCCGATTAAAATCAAAATAAAAAATTTCTACGATATTATGATTATAAAGTTTTGAACATAAAGCTGGATGCTCTTATAGATGCCAGCGTTCCAATGCAATACTTTGATTAGTGGATATCATGCGGTGGAAGAAAATTCATTTTCCACAAACCAGTTTTGCATTCAAGTATACTGGCGTCTGTAAGATTTTTCGCTTAAACCTTCAAAACACATCCAGCAATAATTGTTCTTTCAGATATGGTTCATCCATTTTAATATCGATGACATTCACCACATAATAAGAAATAAAGACTAAATTCATTTGTACTTCAGTAACTTATTAGTATAAATTCAACTCGAGTTTCGACAAAGCGCATCCGGGTATAAATAATTGTGGACTTTACCTTACTGTAACGTAATTTTTAAATACAACCACAGCCGGTACCCGATATATTCGTAGTTACGTAGTACTGTGTTTTAGAATCGTTGAAAATCTTCGGAGTTTTGCCTAAAAATTGAAAAACAGTTTAAGACGAGAGTAGTTCAATTTAAAATAATACAAATAATAAGACATAAAAAAATATAAGAAGGGAAATACTGAGAAAGAAGCAGTTGATACACGGGAAGAAAGGGTAATAAGATAAACCATATATCATGCCTTCTCTTCAAAACATCTGCGACAGCTTTACTGATTGTGGATCATTATTATATTTGCATATGCTAATCTCATTGCCGTGCTGATGGCAAATTTAGAAACTTACAATGCAAAGATATCGCATCTCCCAGGGTAACTATTATATGTATATTGCGACACTTAGCTGCAACATTTTACTCTTAGATTTTCAATGAATTAGGTTAGCATATTTACCTGACTTTGCTCCCCATTAAAAATGTTGATGACGACCGTGTATTGAATTAATAATTTGATTAGATGCACAGTATTTTTTAAAAAATGTAAAGATTATAATGAATCGTAACAAGTTCGAACAGAAAAGTTCAACTAGACGCCATGAAACGGAATCCGAATCAAAGGAGCAACTATTGGACAGCAAAATTATAATCTTATAACTATATAATTAATTTCATTATTAAATTATAGTAATATATATCTCCATTTATTATAAATGCTTCTATTACACTGTATTATATTTCTGATACTTTAGACTGAAGCATGAAGATATATTTGGTTAATATTTTGATATTACCGTACTGACCTTTCTTCCGGTACAGATTAACCGTGGTAGGTGGTTTCTTTGTGTCAGGATACAAATATCCATTTTAATCTTAGAAATCATAAATCCTTTATTATTTATAGAGGTGTCAGTTATTGTTTTATAGTATACTGATATTCAATATAACAATAGTTGTAAAATTACTGAAACTAATAGTGCATTTCTTAACCTTTTTTCAGAAACTATCAGCGTGTCAACAAATACACCACAATGGTAAGTAACTTGTGCTAGCACCATAAATATTGTATAAAATTATTACTGAATTTAATTCTTTAAACATAATTGACACATTCTTCAATTTTGAAATGCATTTATAATAACTAAAGTTTGCATTGTCTATTGCTAGTAACCTAACCTAACCTAACACAACACAATATGATTTAATCTATTTTGGCTACTTTTCTTTTAATTGCACTTCTATGCTTATTGAAAGTTTATAACATTGTAATTTGTATTATTCTTATACATCAGAAGTTTTCCACTTAGTTATAAAAGCCAGACTTCATATAATACAATTAATTATGACATATGAATTTACTTATGTTTTTCTTGCAATTTCTTATTAATCGTTTTTGGGAAAATTTAAACTCCTGACTAGATGAAATAGACTCTGAACTTATTTCCATTTAACATTATACTTAATGCAAGTTGGTGACTACACTTTATATTTCGTTCTAGCCACGTGAAATTAAAGAAATCAAGGACTTCCTTCTCAAGGCAAGGAGGAAGGATGCAAAATGTAAGTTCATTTTTAAATCAATTGTATGCTTATTTTTCTTTTTTAATAAAAATTCAATCAAGAATTGTATACATGATGTCTTTGATTTCGCATTTTTCTTAGTTGTAACGATAGTGGATTAGTAACTTTTTGAATCAATTAGCATTTGCTAAATATTATACCAATTATGTGAACAATTGTTTTGTTATGACCAAATTAAACATATTTTTCTGTAATATATTTAGCTGTCAAAATTAAGAAGAATGCAGAGAATGTGAAATTCAAAGTGCGGTGTTCAAGATTCTTGTACACCCTCGTCATCACTGACAAAGAGAAGGCAGAGAAACTGAAGCAGTCCCTTCCCCCAGGTAAATAATCATTAGTTAAGCCTGTTCAAACAAAAATTATTCTGAAAGATCTCTTACATTTAAACCATTTTTCTTAATTAGGATAACAATGCTCTTTGTTGTTTTCAGGGCTCCAAGTAAAAGAAGTGAAAAGGAGTGAGCGTATGTAAGAAATAAAATAAATTCCTTAATTGACAACTTGACTTGATTTATTTTTATTTTAATAAATGTTGCAAATCCCAAATGTTTTAATTACTCATATGGAGAAATTACATAATATGAAATCAATGTCTCTTACAAATATCAAATAATATAAACGTCATGTAAAACTTTATACTCAACCATTTTTCCATACAAATATATTTTGATTTTTACTAAACTAGCATGGTTATCCCAAAAATCGTCTTCTTCTTTCGTGAATGATACGATTGAGTCGTTTCCTTTGATCTGGTGCAACACGCATCATCTCAAACTCGTCATATGTATCCTCACATATATTCCCATTGTTGCAATTTGCAGCTTGATCTGCTAAATAGTGTGCATAACAAGTATACCATAACTGGCACTTTCTCTCATCATGATGTCCCTTTTTCCTTAGATGTCTAGCAAGAAGGCAATATTTCCTCTGACATGGGTGTATTTGTTGCTTCATACGATGTGAAAGTAACATGCTCAAGTTATCATAGTTTTTTGTAAGCTCAAAATCATTTAACGATTCACCAGCCCCTTCATGTTTGGAATTGAATTGTTGAATTCTTGGTGGTTCAAAAAGTTCTTGTTCTACTCTAGTATTCTCTTCAATTTTAGGGCTTGACAATTCTTTAAAATGGTTACAGATTTCCCTATGGCAAACCTCTATGGCATCTATTAATTGTAATCCAGGATCTGAATATTTCCTTTTGATAATACATATTCTGTTTATGTCACAGGCTGATAAGCTTCGTTGTAGATTCGATTTGTTATGTGTTATTGGTATATTAATTATTGCATCATTGGTAGACACCTTTTCTATCTCTAATTTATCGTTATAAAACTCATTCATTATTTCATGATTAGGTTCCTATAAAGAAAATTGTATTGATGTATAAATTAAACAATATATGATATTCAACATTAATTACTAGAATATCGTTTCGGTTTATTTAGGATTAACTCATTTTTTCTTGAAAATATATTGCAAAAGCATTTGAAAGAAACTGTGTAAAAAAATTATTATCAAAACCATAATACCATTTGTTGAAGTTCTATTGAGTTCTGAAAAGTTTCCGAAAACGATTCCTTTTCCTGTGTTTCAAATATTAAATCGGTTGCCAAATCTTTCATTACAATTTGTGTTCTATCTCCATCACTCTGTAGAAGAGATTCTTGAGCTACGTTTTTCGAAATCATCAAAAGAATTGTGTGAGGAAAATAAATTTTTTATCAATTCCGGTTCGTATTCTTTTTTACTTTCAAAACGATCCTCCTCATTGCAAAAAAGTTTGTTCTTTTCTTGATTTATCAATGGTTCAAAATCCTCGTGTAAATCATCTTTTTTAGGAACTATCCAGTCTTTCAAAAGATCCCGCTCTTGATTACTTAATGATTCGGTGCTTCTTTTTAAGGACATCCTATGATGCATATTAATACTTATTCATAATAACCCTCATAATGACTCTCGTTAAGTTAACGTTTCTTGGGTGTATGGGAAGGCGATTCGAAAAATAACAATCACTTAACAAAAAACTCCACACTTCTACAGTGCTAACATAAAATCAAGCTATCGGAATAGAATTGATCCATTAACAAGAGTCTACTGTATATAAAATTTGTTTCAAATAATCATACCTTTGATACACTGACCATAACTTCAGATACAAATAACGATAGCAGCACACAAGGGCGATTACAAGTATCAATATAATGAGGATTAAGAAAAAGATTTTCCAAAAACCGTATTTTATCTTGAAATCCTCTGAAAAGTTAATAGCGTGGAAGTCATTTCCATTCAAAGGAACCTGTAAAATTTCATGTCCTCTGTTGTCCCTGAAAACGTGTACTCTGTTATACTTACCCGTAATAAAAAAATTTTATACATTTTGAACCCTTTAGTTAGCTTATTCAAAACTTTGAAAAATAGTATACACATTCTGGCCAAGATTCCAAATAATAATAATATATTTATGTTTCATCTATGATTACGTGATTAATAAAAAATTTACCAATTATTTGAACGTACTCCGATTCTTCGAATACTTTGTCGTCATTAATACCGCTAATTCCTTTTTGGTGAATGATATTATAATTGGGCCAATGGACCAAATCCTTTCTGCCGTTTTCACGTAGCTTGGCAACATTCTCGTATATTCTATAAATTCATAATATGTTCATGAAATTTCCCATACGCTTAAATACATTTTTTTTTCAAAGAAATTACAGTGCACGTTAATTTAAAGATACCTTTTAACCTATAGTTTTTAAATACCTTAACATTTGCAAAGAACAAAATGCAAGTTTCCAAGATGTATTTCAAATTTGCTTTTGATTTTATTTGCTCCTCATAAGAAATGGAATATTTGGCGTTTATTAAATAATAAAAAATAGCCTCGAAAAAATTCAAACATTTGCTAAGTTAGCACCAAACAATGACACACAATGAAATACGTATTCAGACAATATCATATGAAGCATTTCATAATGATAAAATAATTGAAGGATTATGTATATTTTGTGAATAAGTGGTATACAACAGTATACAACACCTATATGCAAAAAAATGTTTTCGCCCGGGATCGAACCGGGGACCTTCCGCGTGTTAGGCGGATGTGATAACCACTACACCACGAAAACTTCGTATCTGTTACTTCTTTCTCCAAAATCACATTATATAAACACAACATTTTTACATCACTACAAACCTATTTAAAAGAAAACAATTTTTCTGAAATTTGATGTAAATAATATGAAATGGCGTTAATAACTAGACACTTTACTTAATTTACGTACAAATAAGTTATTCAAATTTATTTCAATTAAGTCCATTATAGTATTTTGTGATACATAGATACACTGTTAAAATTCTGTAAATATAATTCAGTCTATAAGCTGATACTTTAGGTAACTTCATTTTTCTGGATGATAATAGCCCTATCTGGCTTATCCCTTTGTTTCAACTCTATTTTAGCAGAATTGTAGTATTTGATAAGATACTGTAACATTAAAACTGATTTTTATAGGGAAGGAAGTATAAATATACAGTATTTTACATTTATGAATCGAGAATGTACCTTGTAATTTACATACTTTTTATTTTAATCATTAGTATGCAGTAAATGTATTTTGTGTATCATGTACCATTTAGCAATCTCTAAACTGTCTTAGCTAATTTTTTGAAGTATTTTCATACTATTAATCCATTGTTCGTATTCACATACGTTTTCATGACCCATAGATACCAATAGACCAATTTCATCGCAACGCAGGTGGCAAACAATATTGATGATCAGTGGCAACCAAATCTAAACATGATATATTTCAATTTAGTCAAGTCATTTTAAACAATGTACATTTAACGTACCAATATCATGTAATATTTCTAATTCTCCATCTGCAGGAAGATCTTTTGTCATAGAGACGTTTATGATGTCTCTTTATCTTCGATTGAAAATGATTCTAAACAGTATGTTTCCATTGTTATCCCATTCATTGAAGAATTATCCAATGGTTAAGAAGTTGTTAAGGCCACAATATTACTTCCTTCATCCTTGTGTCTGACTTATCCTACCATAGTTCCTTCATTATTAAATATTAAAGGTAGTTTGACCTGTTGTAAATATATAGTCAGTCCATCTTTTTCATAATGTAAGTAATTTATAACAATCAATATAAAACTGTATTCAAAACTACTTTTTCAATACTCTCAAACAAAACATACGTATCGAACAGCATTGTCTCTAAGCCTAATGCGAGACATAGATGTTCTGTCAAATGATGCATCTGAAAAGTGCAATGAGCATAATACTGTTTGTTTATTAAGTCCAGGATTCCTAAATTATCCAACCACAATTTTCGTTCATCAGGATTAACGGGCAACCTAAGGAAACATTTATGTATATTATAAAATTCTTAAATTATATTTAAGTACTTACCTTTGATAAGTTATTTTAACAATTTTTTCTTTTTCTAATTGAGCTCTTGACTTTTGAGATCTTCCCGTTTTATTAGAGCAATCTGATACAATACCCGAACGCATTTTTATCATGAAAATAATGCTCAAAAGTAAATAATATTACTGCGTAATACGATATCAAGTATTCAAATCATACAGAACTAAAGATTATCTTGCGTTTTGTTTTTGACTAAATTTTGGTGTCAAGGCCCACTGTGAACGCGGCATAAGCTATATCAAAAATTAATGGAAGAGAGAACAGAGCATAAAATACTCAATGTTGAGACTACAGTTCCGCTTGGAACTATTGTTAAATAATCCTGGAAGGTAGCACCGCATCGCTGCACACTTCAATGCAGACAGGTATAGTATGCTGGCTTTTATCCTGGTAAATCTTATCGAGCTTACATTGTGCACTCGAATTTAAGATTACGAAAAAAAAATGTTTAGGCAATGTCTGATGAACGGCCTCGTTCTAACAGTTGCTCTGGGAACCAGCGGTAAGTTCCGGAGAACCTCTGCCGGCTAGTGTCCGTTTCCTCCGACATGATTTAAGCCGGGTTCAATTTTTTAAATATAGTCTTAAGATAGGATAACCAGAGTTTAAACCTTGATTAACGTTGAAGGAAACAGGCATAGGCTACACGTTCGTGATCACATTCAGCTTGGGTACGACGGGATATGAATTATCGACGGAGGTGTTGATCACGAAATCCTACTCCCGGAGTCGCCGCTACGATTTAGCGCCAAGTTTTTTGGTATCGCCTAAAACCGGAGCGTTGTGCATCTCCCCACTCATCTCTGACCGTGATACAGCCATTCACCGCCATCAACCGCCATATTGCAGCACATTGCAGGTTGCATATTGTTTAGGGGCCTGTGTTCATATAAGTTGACATATTCCTGATATATGTTCGTGATCAAAGAAAGATGTCAGTAATGGTAAGATTCATAATGGTATATAAAATTAAAGAATAGGTATAGTATATAAATTCTAAATGAAGCAATTGTTAACAACGTTTTATTACCCTATAAATTTCATGAAGATATTTAATGTTCATCCCCGCCATTATTATAAGTACATAAATACTTTTTTTTCCTTAAATATATACATTTCATGCAATGTAACCTGTGATAACATTGATTATTGGTATTCTTTTTAATTTATTAACTCTTATGCAGAGGATGCGAGCTGCGAAATGTCCTACAGATGAGCTCAGTCTCTCTAACTGTGCTGTCATAAATCGTGATGACTTTCCTGATGATGTCAAGTTAGTACCGCCCACTAATTTTTAATCATGATACTTAGCTCTATTATGTTTCCAATAGAAATAATTTTTTTATATAAACTGTATAATGAAATACTGTACATCAATCATCTAATAATTTATTTAGGCATATTGAGGTGACCACTGGTCCAAATCAACACTTCGTGTTTACAATAAAAGCTCATCCCGATGTAGCTCGTGGGACAGTGGGTTTTAGCCTGCCTCAGCGAAAATGGGCTACGCTCTCTCTCAATCAAGACATTGAAGTTAGACCATATCACTTTGATCCTACATCTGGATCTGAATTTCTTTGTACTATTGTACTGGAGGCTGATTTTTTGCAGAAGAGATCGTACGTATTTTTAGCTGTTTTATATTATATTAAATTATTGTGTATGAGAAGTACTGAATACTGGCTTAATGTGAACTTTAAAGATTATGATAAAATTAAAATACTGCAATGAAGTAACACAATAAAATTTCAGAACCACCCTAGAGCCTTATGACACCGAAAAAATGGCAAAGGACTTTCTGCTACAATTCTCAGGGCAGGCCTTTACGGTTGGGCAACAATTGGCGTTTCAGTTTCAAGAGAAGAAAATGCTTGGTCTAATTGTTAAAAGTTTAGAGGCTGCTAACATCTCAGGAATCAAGTCAGGACATGATACCACACCAAAAAAGACACGTATGGGTCGTTGCCTAGGCGACACCGTGATACAATTCGAGAAAGCCGAAAATTCTAGTTTGAATCTTATTGGTAGTGCTAAAGGGAAAATTGTTCGTCAATCAATTATTAATCCCGACTGGGATTTTGAGAAAATGGGGATTGGTGGCCTGGACAAAGAGTTCAGTGCTATTTTCCGAAGAGCTTTCGCGTCAAGAGTTTTTCCCCCAGAAGTGGTCATTCAGTTAGGCTGCAAGCACGTTAAGGGTATTTTATTGTACGGTCCTCCAGGAACTGGAAAAACCCTCATGGCAAGACAAATCGGCATGATGTTAAATGCAAGAGAACCTAAGATAGTAAATGGTCCACAAATCCTAGATAAATATGTAGGTGAAAGTGAAGCTAATATTCGAAGACTGTTTGCTGATGCTGAAGAAGAAGAGAAAAAGGTATTTTTTGAATTAATGTGGGAAATATTCTGACCTGTCACTGTTCAAATAATATAACGATATTGTCAAACGGAATATTTCAGCTTGGGCCTAATAGTGGACTGCATATTCTTATCTTTGATGAGATTGATGCTATTTGCAAGTCAAGAGGTAGCGTAGCTGGAAATACTGGAGTGCATGATACTGTTGTTAACCAATTGCTAGCCAAGATTGATGGTGTAGAACAATTGAATAATATTCTCATTATTGGTATGACCAATAGAAGGGACATGATTGATGAAGCTTTGCTTCGTCCCGGAAGACTAGAAGTGAGTTTTATTATAAAAGAAGTGTATATTATTCATATAAAGCAATATACTTTTTTAATATCGGTGGTCATAGGTGCAAATGGAAATTAGTCTACCAGACGAACATGGAAGATTTCAAATACTTAATATCCACACATCTAGAATGAGGGAATACAAGAAGATAGCATCAGATGTTAATTTAAAAGAATTGGCTGGACTAACAAAGAATTTCAGTGGTGCCGAATTAGAAGGTCTTGTGAGGGCTGCACAAAGTACTGCTATGAATAGATTGATCAAAGCTTCAAGCAAAGTGGAAGTAGATCCAGCAGCAATGGAAAAGTTGATGGTGTCAAGAACTGACTTTATGCATGCTTTGGAGAATGATATTAAACCGGTAAAATGATTAATTTAATTGTATATCATGTTCCTGTACTAAATTGACACTGTATAAATTATTATTTTTCATCTATCACTTCCTTTATAGGCGTTTGGAACCAGTGCAGAAGCATTAGATCATCTGCTCATGCGTGGCATTATAAATTGGGGTAGACCTGTTGCAGAAATTCTATCAGATGGAAATTTGTATATTCAGGAAGCTCGTGCTTCGGAAGGTTCTGGTCTCGTATCTGTACTGTTAGAAGGACCACCTAATAGTGGCAAGACTGCACTTGCTGCTCAAATAGCTAAGAATTCAGACTTTCCATTCGTCAAAGTGTGTTCACCTGCTGACATGGTTGGCTTTACCGAAACCGCAAAATGTTTGTCTATTCGCAAGGTAATCCATCAAATAAATAATTCTTTTCCATGTCACAGAAAAGCTTACGAGAATACTACTTTAAATGAATGTCTTGATTTTTTTTTTAGATATTCGACGACGCATATCGCTCCCAGCTTAGTTGCATTCTTGTTGATAATATTGAACGATTATTGGATTACGGTCCTATCGGTCCACGGTACTCAAATTTAACTCTACAGGCATTACTGGTTCTGTTGAAAACTGAACCGCCACGTGGCCGAAAACTTCTAATCCTTTGTACTACTAGCCGCCGGTGCGTAACTGTTTAATTTACCTTCATGAAGAATTAATATGGTAAATGTATAAATCAATATATTTCGCTTTTATTCGTTGTCTCGCAGGCAAGTGCTTGATGATATGGAAATGTTGTCGGCATTTAGTACTATTCTGCACGTGCCAAATTTATCGACACCTGATCACCTTTTGGCAGTATTAGAAGAAGTGGATCTGTTCACAAAAGAAGAAATGGCGTCATTGCATGCAAAGTTACAAGGAAAGCGGTACGTATACTATGAAACAATATAATTTTTAATTATTAACTAAAATTAAAAAATGGCGGTTATTAATTTTATAATTGTATATAACATATGTCTATATAGTGTTGTGTTTCTGTTGTAGCATTTTCATTGGAATCAGGAAGTTGTTATGTCTCATAGATATGACACGTCAGGTGGAGCCAAGCTACCGTGTAACGAAATTCCTCTGCAAATTGGAAGATGAAGGTGGTCTAGAATAAAAAGGATAGTTAAGTAACAAATGTTATTTATATTGTAATTACATTATAGTCAATATTTCTGAATAGTGAGATAAACATAGTTAAGAGGGTTACAAAATACAATATCTTCTAGATATAAAACTAGAAAATGGCACTAAGCCATACCTGGTGGTACAAATATCACATTTACAATAAGCTGTTAAGTTTATTGAAAATATCCTAAAAGTGGTGAAGCATTTACAAAGATACAGCTTCACTTATTGTGCCACCAAAATCGTATTTCGATCACACATTTTCAACATTGTGGCTTCACGTCCAAAATTAGTACCCGAAAGCTAAAGACCGAATATTAATTGCAGTGCGTCTCCGTTTTAATACTTTTTCAATGAATTAATTTAACGATAGACTCTCGTCTGAAGAAAAATCTACTGTATATAGTTGCTTTACGTTCGAACTTGAAAATATCTATTTCAAGTACCTGTTCAGTCAGTTCTAATATAATGACTCACAAGATGATTACATAACTACTTCAATCTTTTAGGACATTAATGTCACAGCTGAAATATTTTTTTAGTCTAAACTAAGTTTTCCCAGTTACCTTGTAATAAGAATGATGCAAAATAACAAAATTTAGGGAGAAATAACAGTACATAAGTTTTCCTCGGTTCCGATTTCATTATGCTGTACGCATATTATGGTATGACCATCACGTATACAAATACATTAGAACTAACAGAACAGTAGCTTTAAAGTTGCATATATACTATAAATATTGTTGAAAGTTACCAATTTTTATATGAAATATCTTCAATAGTATAATGATGCAAGTTGTGCATTGAGTCATAGTTTGGTCTGATACTACATGAAACATTGTTTCAAGTTCATTCAGTAAAACAAAAATACGTAAATTAATTTTCATGAAGTAACAAGTATCTTTATAGTATTAATTGTAATATTGGTACTTTGCGATAATATGTATAACAACATGTTTGTTGCGTGTTCGTTAAGCACACTTGGTAGCAATAAATGCTGAACTTTAATTGAAAATTTCAAAGTAACTATCGAAACAAAGAAGATTTTTATACTTCTAAAACTGTGATTATTTTTGCAAAATGAATTATTGTTATGAAAAATCATTCCATTATTTTCGCTTGTAAATTTGTTAGTGCATCGTTACGCTTTTGATAGTTTTTATCTGTATAAATTTTATGTAAAAATTATCATTTACCTAATAGTTCAATATTTTGTGCGCCAGTTTTATTATTATAGATAATTATTATCTATATTTAAGCGATTCATTTTCTAAATAATTTTAGTCGCACACGCCAGTACAGCAGTCCTGAAATGTGCCACTGAGAGATGCATACTAGTGTATTGATTAAGTTATAAAGGAAATAAAAGCACAATTAAAATATTTACAAATTACGTGTAGTATGCGTTAAAAAGTGGTCCAGATTATATACAACATAAACACGCTGAACTAACTGTGCGACCAATCAATTTATACAATTATACAATTTATACAAGATTGCTTAGCGTAAATCAATAACGTTTTAAAATATAAGGTAAGTTTTCTAAGAAAATCAGAAGTAATTACAACTGATTATACCTTATAGGTACCTTACACCTTACAATCCTGTATATAAAACCATATGCATCGCGTTTATTCCGCAAGCCATGTATATAATACAGATGTAATCCAATCAAGAAAAAAATAAAATATGACATACGTATTTTCTCTTGTGTGTTTAATATTGATATATATATGTAGGTACATCGTGTATCAGATCTAGAGAGAACAAACTGCAAACAATTATTTGTAAATGTAGGCGATGGGTACTTGACTATGAATTTTGAACCTTACATGTGCAACCTACTCTCATAAGTGATTTGTGGTTCTAGGTTACATTTCATTCAGGGCTGATTCAACGGTCGATATTTTTATTCTACGTTCAGTGCGAGGACGCTGCTTGAGTACCGGCGACGTTAAAGTGAACAATTCCATGGATAAATACGGATCCAAGGAAACCTCGAATAGGGTCGTTTGTGATCCTTTAATTGTTTCAAGAGTACACACGGTGAGTTCAATTTTTTCACTGTTATGAAACACCAGTGAAAAAAATGAATACTTCTACTTTCTTGTTTTCAAGTACTACGTCTTATCCTTTCTTACAATTCATTCGAAGCACGTGCCCTCCATTATGTCAAAAATGGCGGCAATTGCGATTTTGTTCAGCGTCACTTGAATGTTTTCATAAATAATTTATATTGGATTCCCATAAAGTAATTACGTTTTTTTCTTAGGACATGTATGTCCATCTATTAGAAAAAAACGCAATTACTTTTTTGGCCAACCCAATACATAACCCATTATACGTATAATTGTGTTTACAGTATCTGACTGCTAACGTGGATAAAGTTTACGTAGATGTAGAAGAAGTTGCAGATTATCTGCAAAGAAGATATCGCGAGTATAGAAAAAGGAAGCAGAGTCCGTTTAGAATTATGGTTCGAAGAGCTTATGATGAAATTTCTAAAAATTATGAAAGAAAATCAGCCGCGTTTATGCGTCAAGACGAAGACAATGATGATGATGATGATGATGAAGTGTATGATATACAGGTATGAACTTAGCGGCATGGAAATCTTGATGTTAAATAATTGCATCTATAACAATTTCTACTCTAGGGAGATTCACAAAGACTGGATATGAGGTCTAACAATTCAATTGTCAGAATGTACAAGAAAAATACCTCAAATGGGAATTCATGTGATAAGGAAGTTGTAGATATTAGTAGTGATGATAATGTCAGTGATTCAGATATAACTGCACCTAAAAAGACAGTTGAAGTACCAGTTACACCCAATGTATCTACAGTAAAAGTAAATGACTTACTAGTATTTCTTATACAGGAGAATTCATATAAGCATTTATGTAAACCAGATTTGACTGTTTTTTTTTTAATATGGTTTACAGCCTGTGAAAGAAATAACAACATTATTGTCTCCTTCACCTGCAGCTGTAGAAAAGCAAACAAAAAAGAGGCCCCGAGATAAAGATGGAGAAAACACTCAGGGTTTGCCAACTAAGAAAAAATCTGGATTTCCTGTAATCGAGGGAAATGTTAACTTTCAGGACATTGGTGGATGTACAAAAGTTCTTGAAACTGTCTGTAAATTATTAGTGCATATAAAACATCCAGAGATTTTCAAACAGTTGGGTATATCACCGCCTAGAGGCTTTCTCCTTCATGGACCTCCAGGATGTGGAAAAACATTGTTGGCACATGCAATCGCAGGGGTAAGAAAGATTTTGATCTAATTAACTTACAATTTACCAAATTTTCACAATCACTTATTATTTTAAGGAATTGGGAATACCGCTTTTGAAAGTTGCTGCACCTCAGCTTGTGGCTGGTGTATCAGGAGAAAGTGAATCGCGAATAAGAGAACTATTTGATCAGGCTATTTCAATTGCACCTTGCATTTTATTCCTTGATGAAGTAGATGCTCTAGCACCACACAGAGCAAATGCACAGAGAGAAATGGAGAGACGAATAGTAGCACAACTGCTCTCCTGTATGGATGGTAAGTTTATTTTGGTTTCTGCAGAAAGCTATGCTAAAATAAACTTTACATGAAAATTAATCTATTTGCTTTATTTCAGACATGAGTTTTAAGCAGAACGGAGATAGAGTTCTAGTTGTCGGTGCTACAAATCGACCTGACTCCCTTGATCCGGCTCTACGTCGAGCTGGTCGTTTCGATCGAGAAGTATGTCTAGGTATACCGGATCGTAAAGCTCGGCTGGATATCCTAAAATTGCACACAAAGTCATTGACCCTCGCATCAGATGTTAATCTAACCAGGATAGCAGAGCTAACTCCAGGTTACGTCGGTGCTGATTTAGTGTCACTAATTCGAGAAGCTGCCATGATTGCCGTAGACAGAGTCTTTAATCAGCTTGAAAAGAAAAACACAGAACCTTGTAATTTGACAGAAGAAAAAGTCTCTGAAGTGGAGGATCATGATTCCGTAATAGTTCCAGAAAGTAAAGTGGAAAGTAGCCCTGTAAGTCCGAAACCTTCTACATCTGGTCAGTCTCAGATAACTTTCGATGAGGACTTAAAACCTGAACAAGATGAAGTCCTTTTTAAAGAACGCAATGAATCGCCAGTCACATGCTCGAAATTATCAAACTTAAGAATATGGCTGCGTGATGAAGAACCAATATCACCCGAGAACTTGGTAAATCTCAGCATTGAGCAGATAGATTTCGGAGATGCTATACGTGTCGTGCAACCATCTGCGAAACGAGAAGGTTTTGCCACTGTACCAGATGTCACATGGGATGACGTAGGCTCTCTGCAAGATATTCATGAAGAGTTACAAATGGCCATATTGGCTCCGGTCAGACATTCTGAGCACTTTGCAGCACTAGGTTTAACTACGCCTACAGGGGTACTCTTATGCGGGCCTCCTGGCTGCGGAAAAACTTTGCTGGCCAAAGCAATCGCCAATGAAGCAGGAATAAACTTCATTTCAGTTAAGGGACCCGAACTGCTTAACATGGTAAACGACTTTTTGAATTAAATTGATAACAACGAGCTATATAATAGAAGTTTTCATCTATTTTGTTTATTTCATAGTACGTGGGTGAGAGTGAAAAAGCTGTACGCCAGTGTTTCGTGCGTGCCCGCAATTCTGCACCATGTGTGATATTTTTTGACGAATTGGATGCTCTTTGCCCTAAGAGATCAGAGGGTGACAATAACGCTTCGTCTCGTGTTGTGAACCAAATGCTAACTGAAATGGATGGCATTGAAGGTAGAAAGGGTGTATTTCTTATGGCTGCAACAAATCGACCCGATATTGTCGATCCTGCTGTTCTTAGGCCAGGTCGATTTGATAAGACGCTTTATGTAGGATTGCCAACTGCTTCCGATCGTGCTGATGTTCTCAGAGCATTGACGAAGGTAATACAAATAAATGTTTTCATACCTGATAAAGTTAACACATATCTAAAATACTTGTAATTTTCAGAATGGTACAAAACCTAAATTGGCAGATGATGTTGATCTTAATGAGATTGGTAATAGTACAAGATGCAATGGCTACACTGGAGCTGATTTGAGTGCTTTAGTAAGAGAAGCAGGAATTGAAGCTCTTCGTGAAACTATGACAGGCCCACCAGGATTGGCAAAAATATGCCTAAGACATATTGTTGCAGCTTTCGATAAAGTGCGACCATCCGTGTCGGAAGAGGTAATAATTTTTAGGTAAAAATAAAAAAGCCTTTATAAGTAAATAATTGTTTGTTTATAGGATATAGAAAAATATGAGAATTTACGAAAGACGTATTCCGTCACGACGAAGAGTTCGGACGTCATTCCGATGGAAACACCTATAGCTGCACCTTTGGTAGATGCTATCATGGAAGCTATGGAAGCGTAAGTTATGAGCGCTGTCATTAGTTATGTATATACGTACATTCATATTAGATATACTTCTTTTTTTAAGGGAAGACCATAATTTATTATTAATTACATTAAAAAAATAGTTTATATTGTTTTTTTTTTCAAATAACGGCATTAATTGCGATAGCATGAATTGAATCCGTAAATTGATGCCATGGTTCTATACTTCTTATAGACTTAAATTGCTGCTGCAAGTTGCATCATTATTAATGTATTTCCTTCCAGTTAGGCTAATTCTTTAAAAAATAAATCTATAGTTCATCGTGAGAGTATACTTCCTAAATTTTATACAGTTTATAAAACGCTTAATAAAACTTATAATTACTTACAAATTCGAAGCGTTGATATTCTTGATAATATTTGTCTTATTAGTTTTTAAGCTTGATTCGAAGTTAATCTAAAATAAAGGAGAACTAGATATTACACGATAGATAAAACAGTTCTTTATTTGTACAGTATGAAAATACTTATTGAGTTTACGAACATAGAATAGCTTCACAATTAAATACACGTGTGTATTAAAAAAATAGATAATACAAAAACTAAACAAAAACTCAGGAACTGCGTGGTGATTTTTAAACCTAACCTAACATTAAAACATGAAGTAATATATCTCGTAGAATATTACTAAGGATTAAAACCACGACGAGAATACATAAATAGTTATCACATATCAAAAATGCTAAGCTCTGTTAAATGTAACAGATTAAGTACTTAACAATATAAATTTAATTTCATCCTGGAGTAATGTAGAAAGCAATCTTCGATATTTTTTAGGCATTTGGTTCATTGGTTCTTATAATAAACTTGTACTGTATATTTTATTAGTATTTCTCTACGTTTAATTATCTAATATAAATAATAAAATATATATCAAATTTTTAATTTTTGTATTCAGAACTTCACAGATATTTATAATAACGACTGACGAGTAGTACAAATACACTAATGTAGAAATTTTGTGATTAAAGAATAATTCTTTACAAATACAACATTTTTGTGCAAATAATCATTAAACGTGGAATATGCAAAAGAACATAGAAAATAATACTTAGTAGTGTTCTGCAAGGGTATAGTAATTTACATATTTACTCGATATAAATACCAGTTGCAGTGCGACAGATAGTTCTGATTTCCCTTTTTTTTATGGATTTACCTCTTCCAAGAGCATACTAGTTGCAACGGACAATTTATCTGCCTACACGTCATATGTTTTCAAATATTGTATCAAATTTAATGTATTATCTTCGAAAGTATGCTAGATCGAGCATACCCGTTAAAAATACTAAGGCGATAACTCACTCGAACTGATCCCTACTCCAGAGACTCCAGTGGTGAATATCAATTACTTCTTGGACAAGGTCGAGGAGCATACTTTCTAAAATCATCATGAGCACCCTCCAGACGTTTCATGACCTGATATTTTGTCTTGGCAATGACACTAAGCTTATCATTTTTTGAAGGACTGGAGCGTGCCTGCCACAATTCTCGTTGTAGTGGAAAGTCCACTGCCTGAATTCGTCTCATTCGAGCCACTTGCAGTATCCTGTCAATTTCGTCGATCAGATCAGTATGTCCCATTGATGATCTGCAAAGTGCCATGAAAATGGAGATGAAATAACTACAACTGATATATTCAGAAAATATAAAAACAGTATCAATATTGAAGGTGAATGAATATTTTATATGCGTATGTTGAATTCATTCTTAACAAATAATTAGTTATCACTAGATATCTACTTTCATGATTAAGATATGACATTCTTAAATCGTGAGTCAGTATATAAAATTAATCTTATCTGGGTTATTTGAAAACGGTTACTTGTCCGGTTGAACAATTCATAAAATTACCTTTCAATGTCGCTGCATAATCTGTACATTTCCAGACAGGCAAGGTCCGACCTTCTTTGAGTTCTTTGTAGGAATTTTTCAAAAAGTTCAATTCCTTTTGGATGATCGAGGGCTTTTGATACGTCTTCGGTTATTAAGTTTAATTCTGCTGTTGTGAGACCTACGGTGCATTTTCCAATACACCCCACTTCTGTCGTCATTCTTTGATGCAACTGTAATTTAAAAAATCAGTGTATTTGCTTAACCGGATTCCGCCATTGATATTATGATTGATAAATATTATTCTTCTACAATTTAAAAATACGACTCGTGTTAACGAACATATTAAAATATGTACATATTGAAATACGATTATTCCTTAGACAATTCATTTTAACGTTAGAAATGTATTTTTTTAACAAAAGAAGAAATTACTAATAATTTCATCATAAGTAAATTCTATTCACGCTTCCTGTTGACTTCCTTGCTTAGAGACTTCCTTTGTAATCGCTGATAATCTTTCTGTCGTACCGTTTGATGTGTTCCGCCCGCCATGAAAAGCACGGACGGGATATAACCTCTCATAGATCAGTTCCGTTTGCATAATTAACGGTGATATGCTTTTATAATAAAAGAAATTATTATCGTATTATTTTTTTTACCATTGTACCAGTTCCTAATTCGTTTCTTTTTTAGTCTTATACTTAACACGATTGCAATAAGTTGATGATAATATGTATCATAGTCACTATACTATTAATATAGTGAATATATATAATAGTACGTTATCACTATTAACACGGTATCGCGTACCAGCTTACAGATAAATATTACAAGGTGACTCGACCTGTTTAGGCTAAAATTTCTATATGTCGAGAACTGAAGTTTTTTTTTCGAGAAAATGAATATAAAAGGATCTGGTATTGCTTTTAACTATTCGCTTTGATAATTTTAGTGCTGTGTAAATAACAATCATTTTAATGCAACAATCTATAAAATGCCGCATGGATCTTTCAATATTTGTATACTCCCCAAGTATTATTATAATTCTCAAACATTCAAATTTGTAAGATAATCAATTCATCAAAATGATAATTTCTACTCTTATCAAGGTCTACTTCGCCGAGTTAAAGGTTATCAGTAATATCCCCTATCAGTATCCATAAGACTAACACAGAACGAACCATACTAAACCCTTGTTCCTTATAATAAAATTACAACGCATTCGATTAGAGGAACTGTGTTAAAAACTGTTCATTGTATTCACTGAATTATCACATTGTCACGTAATTTTTTACTTTCTGAGCACGATACTTACGTCAAACGTGAATCCAACCACGATGAGTAATCCAAACTTCTCGTCAGGGTTGCCAGTCTTTATTGATCCAAGTGAATTTTATACCTCAATGTCTCCGAAAGTCATATGTCTTCTACGTTACGTTAATTCTGTCCAGGTTAACAGTCTCTTCCGTATGGTTTCCTTTGAGAATTTTGAAAAACACGATAAAATCATTTCACTAAGAAGAATTTGAACACAGCATGCTTCACGAAGAAACTGTGGGTTCATACTGGTATGTTAAAAATAGGTCTTGCCGTTCGCGCACACGCACTTAGAACGAATGTGACGAAACTCTTTGGGTGACCTCTTACTGTAAATTATAAATGTCTATATATGCGGGTACAATTCATAATGTACAATTGCAATAATATAGACAGATTTGTCCAATAATTTTTTAGTTATACAAACTTGGAAATTAATTCGATCTTTTATTGGTTCTTAAATATTGTATTCTTTACAGCAAATTTCATATTTATAAGTTTGATACAATTAGGACGGAAAATATTTGCACCTGCCTGTCACGCAGATGCGCAGCTTGAAGTAGACATAGCACCTGCAGCTGTGTCATTCAGCAACTATTGCTTTACAAACTTTAACAAATATCATCTATCTATAGTGGTGTATTAATTTGCAATGGAAATTCGTTTGCTCAATAATATTGTTACAATAACAAATAAGAATCTGCCAATGAATGCAAACTTATCGTTCCTACTCGCACAATTGTAAAAGAACTTGAATATTATATTTCTTTGAAATATATTTCAGTGAGATTCCACGACTTGCAGGAACTCGAATAAGGCACCGTTGTTACGAATGCGCAAGCATTGCGGTTATGAAGTTAACCTTAATGTTACAATCATTTAATGATAAGAGTCTAAGAATGAGAAGAGGCAACGATTAGCGATAACTTTAATTCAGTCACAAACGATTCATTCTCTTTAATATTACTGCTTCGGCATTAGCAATATCACTTCGAAAAATAACCTTTCTGTCAACGAGAAAGATTCGTTGTAAAAAATCAAAAGCATCAAAAACGTTTCGTTCAAATTGTCCTAACTGTAACAAGTTTTATGTAACTTGATATACCGGAATTGTTGGTTAATAACCAGCTTGAAAAAAAAGTATATTTCCGTAAAAAATACAAATCCAAAACATAAGTTGATTCTTCGGAACTCGTTTTTAATGTAAACCGAACCGGAAATAACATTAACACGTTCAGTTCGGCGCATTTTTGGTATTTTGAATTAGCTGTCAGCCACCGGTGGTACATACATGCCAGCGTGAGTGGATTAAACATGCAGTCGACATATAACAGATACTAATTGCTAGTAGAAAAATCATTTAATTAAAGGTGTCTTTTATCATAATAACCAGTCATATACTTACGCAGAAACAAATTAAAAGAACCGTGCATTCCTTTCCTTTATGAAATATTTCTCCGTCAGGTCCAAAATACTATGATAATATATAATGTATTATATATACGTATATATATCAAGCTTCATGATTTAGTTATTATCACTTCTGTTGTTAATTAATAAAGGAGGCATTTTTTAATTTTATTCGTGCACTATTACTCCACAAAAGAAATGTAATACGAAAACCATCTTTCACAATTTCCCAACATGGTATCCTTCAGAGTCACGAGCAGACTGAATCCTATCGTGTGAATTTACGGAACTTGTGAAACTATCGTAAGGGGGATTCGGCGTTGCTACGCGCTTTCACACTGGAGTTAGCTACGCGAATTAAAGAAGTCCAAGCGGTCGTGTTTAGGACTACGTAGGGAATTTTTATACGATTGCTCTATATTTATTAATAAAAAGATTTTCCCTATTCACAGTGAAATCAAGTTCTACTTGATTATTCACGATTTTACGAGTTTTACACTTTAACGAAATTGTCGTCGACGCTGCTATTAATGCTACAGAAAATCTTAGCACGATGATATTTTTATTCATTTCTTGTCGTTATGCGTGACTAGAATATTCTAGAGTAACCGAATAAAATTTAGGTGTGGTTGATTGAAAATTCTCAGTGATCTACGTGATTCTAATAATTCATATGCAATTTTATTTACAACCTTTAAGAGTCAACTAATTATAGCTTTGTGAATCTTAAGCACGTATTCAAAATGTTTATAAACACTACTGAAATAAGATTTGTTTATGTGCAATATAAAATATATATTTATTAATTCAATTGTTAGAAGCTTCTTTGACGTTTACTAATAGTTTTTAAGTTTCTGTACATGTTTTTTAGACGTTCGTGCTTGATCTTGTACTTAATTGCGTACTTAAAGTCAATTTAACGCACCTTCCTAAACTTTGTATGCCAGGATGTTTTAGTTGCACGGTTCAGCAACGTTGTAATCGGCGGAGCAGAACATTTCTCACGATGTTTAAGAATGAATAGTTTTAAAGTTGCTACTTAAATAACAATCTAAAATAAGATTAGATAAACGTGGTAGCCAGCGTAAGAAAATCTAAGAATTCTTACTGCAGCATGTAAAGATTACTAGAATACTAGCATGCTATCGAATTCGTTTTTACAAGTGAACAATGATTATAAAATTACGAAACTATCTATTATTAAATCTTTTCTGTTTATATTTTCTACGTTCGTATCTGGCATCGCTAACATCTTTTACACATTTTTCGGTATATAAAATTGTCAAATAAATCCTGTTGCTGTGAACACAAAATAAAATTTCTTCGTAAAAATATTTCATCAAATATCAAGTCACTAGAACTCTCATCTGAGAAGAACGTAGAAGTACCTACTCGATAACTGATATACCGTTCATAGTCAGTAGAACTTTCGTCTGGGTAAATAGAACTGCTTGGAACTGCTATAATGTCATTCAGTTCAACTTGTAATCAACTTGTTCAATTCTTCGTTGTTGCAAATGGCCAGTCGCAGATAACGTGGAATGATTCTGGTTCCCTTATTGTCACGAACAACGTTTCTCGCCGAATCAAAGATTTCAACAGTCAAGTACTCCAAAACAGCCGCCAAATGAATAAGTGCTCTGTCTCAGACTTCGGCTTCGAATCCGATACCCTCTTCATAATTGCCTTTACGAGGAAGTTTATGAATTCGGTGAAAACTGCAGACCAGCTCTCTTGGTACGAGACTTTACCTTTTACCTTCACTTTTCCAACTTTACCAGATCCCGACATTCCAATATAGAAGATTCGTTCATCAAATGCACAAGAGACAACGTTCTCAACGAAGAACCCACAGTTGAAGTTTCCGTCAGACCGAGTTAATATATAGTGGGTCCGAGGCTACTCGTGCGCCAATCCCATTACGCCCTTCACTTGAGTTGCCAATGCCGTGTTCTGATTGATCGCCCGCGCGGCACCAACGCTCTTTACAGGGGAAGAGTTCAAAGTATACAACGAATTTTTCAAAATTACTGTTATCATATAATCATCATAGAAAATCATTACTATGTCCCACTGGCCTAAAACCGCGGTTCTCCGATCGCTTAGAGATTGTCCAAATTAGCATGGTCATCAGTACTATTGTTAATAAAGTACAATGGTCATAAATATCTCACACCGGACAACAGATTGCTTTGCCTATGGGTGTCATCTGTGAAGCTGATTCACTTTTGTTTTTGAAATGTACAATATTCATGCACAGATCAAAAAGGC